TGGATCAGGAAGAAGATGTTCGTCTCCATATCAATAAGTGGTCGCCGCGAGTGCCCAGCTGTGTAGGCTATCCTATCTGGCGGGCGCCGAACAGATATGAGAGGAGGACCGAGCTAGTCCTCAAATCCTTTAAAGAAGAGGATCCCTGGGGCGGTAAGGATGTTCAGTGGATGATGGAATTAGCGCTGGCCAACTCGCATAGCCTGGTAGAGGATATGAGGACGATTGAGGAAGGACCTGGCCAGGTAGAACGGCATGAGGACCTGATGGGAGGAATGTATCTCCTCGTCAATACGTTATTGCAGGAAAGCCTAGACCAGTCAGGGTCGTTGAACCCGGCAGGGAATGTGAACGAAGTGCCCGAGAGTCAGGACGACGAGTTCGAGGAAGGGGAGATTAAAGAAATGTTTCGTGCAGAGGAGTACGACGGGATCTACCTAGAGCTGGGGCTTCTTTTGTTATGTGAAATGCGGCTTAGGGATGCAAGCGATAGAGCTCAGAGGATGCTGCGGCGYTATTTAGTGCGAGACGGCCACCTTTTTGTGCGAAGAGAAGTGGGAAATCCTAGGAGAGTCGTCTGCGGTAGAAATCGTCAAATCGACGTCATAGCTGCGCTTCATGATGGCATTGCAGGAGGGCACCGAGGGATACAAGCTACGTATGCCAAAATAAGTGAGCTCTACTACTGGGATAGAATGATGGATATGGTCGGGAAGTTCTGCCGATCTTGTGTACCTTGCCAGGAAAGATACCGTTTAAGACAAGGAGAGTCGCTGCATCCAAGGCTAGAGCGAGAGGTAGGGGCCGTAGTGCATCTCGATCTGCTTTTTATGCCGTTTGGGGATCAGGGCTATAACTACATCTTCGATGCACGCGATAACCTGTCTGGGTTCGTAGACGGACGTGCTATTCGCACGAAGACCGGGTCAGTCTTAGTGAACTGCATCGGGGAGTATTACCTGCGCTATCCTTTCGTCAGGGAATTCGTAATGGACAGGGGATCGGAGTTTACTTGCCAGGAGGTGCAAAAACTTTTATCAAGGTGTGGTGTGGCAGCCAACTACACCACGGCCGCGCACCCCCAGGCAAATGCTCCCGTGGAACGAGGACATAGTACCATTACGAATCTCCTGGCTAAATGGACAGAAGGTAGGCCTAATCAATGGCCAAGATACTTAAAGGCGGCTTTCTTTGTCGAGAATATTACAGTAAAAAGATCCACCAAGTACGCACCGGCGACGCTGTGGTACGGAAGGCACGCCACCTTCCCTATCGAAAGCTTTCTTAAGACATGGAGGCGCCAGGATCTGGAAGTTAATCTGTCATTTGAAGAATTGCTCGATATTCGGGCGCGGCAGATAGGGGCGATAGAAGAAAGGATCCAGGAGGCGTCTGACCAGGTGGCGAGAAGCCGTATGGACGATAAGGCTCGATGGGATCAATCTGCACGGGTGAGGAAAGCACCCTTGGCAGTTGGAGATGTCGTGCTTCTCTATGATTGATCACTGGAGAAGCAATGGTCCAGGAAGCTCGATAAGAGGTGGTTAGGTCCCTACCGGATCGCACGGCTCGGAGACTTCGGAGCGTACCACATCGAGGAGGTAAATGGGACTGAGTGGAAGGATTGGGTATCTGGAACGCGACTGAAGAAATTTGTGGCGAGAGAAGAGGTAAGAGAGATGACCTGACTGCCTTTAGGATAGAAGTAACAGGGTGTGTAGGTTAGGTAGGGTGCATACTGCATGAGTGTGATCTGGTATGAGCTTGCTTTGATTATCACCTGCTTGCTTACCCCAATGTGGGCCTGTTGTCTCCTTCGCCTGTTGTGCAGGTCTGACTTTACGAAGACAGCCATGCCAAGAGGAGGGAAGGGGACACGGCCGCCTCAGAGGCCGTTGGGCGCATCAGGAGGATATGAGCGGCATGGGCCTCGCCATCGAGAGAGCACTCTAGTCTACAATGATGGGGACATCGAGCTATTCCTGGACAGTTTCTGRGAGCATGCGAGGCGTATGGGCTGGACCGTCGCTCAGGCGATTGAGAGATTGAGGGGAGCAGGTAGGTTCGAGGAGCCCATTGCCAGGATTCGTAGGGAGGCGACGACGAGGTAGGAGGTGGAGATGAGGATGGAGGAGTTGCGACCCTCGCCTGTGGGACCTGATGGCAGGCCAATCCGCCTGAAGATTGGAAATGCGTCGGACTTCATCCCCGCGTTTGAATGGTTCATGCAGGGGCAGGGCATACCGAGAGATGATTGGATGCAGACGCTACCATTCTGGACCAGGAAGGCGGAAAGGCCACTGGCTATGCAGATCAGGGACATGGCACGAGATTGGGAGAGCTGCAGGGCACATCTGAGAGAGGCCTTTCGACGGCCAGAGCTCCCTCAGCCCAGAGTC